GGAGGGGGGAGGAGCGGGACTTTCCCACGATGGCTTCCTGACCATCTTGACCTTTTGGTATGCCTGGATGTTAGTGATAGAACACTTATCGATTACAATGGACAGAATTATCTTAATTAGAATCTTAATTATCGAAAATGTACAAAATGTAAGACATATATATACATACCTACAATTTTTTTTCAAATTTTCTTTTGAGCAGTATTGCAAATAATTCTATTGGGCACCTCCGGCCATCGCAGAACTTCTTTACTTGGTCACACTTTAGCTTTGAAGGGATCATAGTAAAGGCTGCTAGGCCACAGCGCAATCATTTTTGCAAACAATTGGATAAGCCCGATAATGAAGTCCGTTCCAAGTGTCCTATTACCTCAACCCGTTTGGGGAAGTAACACTTCCAGGTGATGCTAAAAAGTCGGATGGACAGCATGTAACACTTTTTCGCAAAAAACGATTAAATCCAGGAGTAGTGAATAATTTTGTAAGACATTTGTTAGTGAAGACTCAGTTTCTTCAAGAATTTTGCTTTCAGTTCTAGCTGGTTTCTTCTACGATACTGAAGCGGAAGCAAAGACAAAAAATGCAATGAGGTTGAAATTTCGGAAAACCACTATGAGATTTATGTCAGATGGATTTCAGGTTTGAATTGGGGGTTGGGGCAGGGAAGACCGGACCCTGCAAATACAATATTATTTTTCAGAGTAAAGCTTGTTTCGTACAGCCTTCAAATCGCTCTTTTTCTGATTTCGCTGTGCTGCACAAGCTATTCTAGATGCTTCATTTTTTGGTATGGAGCCAGCAGGGCCAAATCTGGCATAGTGCCACATCTTATTGAATCGTTGCCAAAAGGTCAGGTTAATTTGGAAGCAATCATATGAAAAGTCCCTCTACCCCCCCCCCCCCTCCCAAATCTTACCTCCTACAGTATACTAGACCCGAGGTGTGGGACTTCACACCGAGCCGTAGGTGTTCACACCCCGCACCTCGGAGTTGTTCATCGTATGAGAAGTCACTCACCCCTATCACAAATTGGGTCAGATGGTCGATCTTCACCCCTGGACCTAAGCTCTCTACCCTCCCGTGAAGGTAATTTGCCATTAAAGCAGATGATGTGTCGATGGTTAATAGGCTTTACAGTAGCCTGAGGCGAAATAGCGCCTCTTGATGTGTGTTATACAGAACACATTAGCTGTTGAAGCTTTATGAACAGTCGACTAGCACACGTGGGTGCAATGGTAGAATGCTGACGATAACAGGCGGAGCAAGATAACTCAATGGTATCACAGCAGGTCATGCTTATGGCATGACCTTACGGTACTTCGGTGAGAGTCAATATACGATTGTAAGGAAGTGCCGACAATGTCGGCACACTCCGGCCAGCGAGGAAAATGAATAGCGAAACGGAGCACAAATATGACGTCTAGATACATCGAAGTGCTTTCTTTGTCAGGATATCGCAATGGACGTTGTCGAGGTAGCAGACAAGTGAAGGTAGGTCCCATATTAGAGGTGGAACAATGATGGGTGCGATTTAACGGAGAACTTGGTGTTGGAACAGGCTGGTGATGCTGAAGTAATTCTACAATCATGTCTTTAGTTGAAAGTAAAACACAAAAGAGATCCAGCTTCGTTTCAGTATTGGTGCAACTGATATTCGTATCATGTGAATACCAGTCTTCGATAATCCAAGCCATTGCTGAGACACATACGTCGTGACCTGTCTCAAAGCTGGGCCAGCCGGGGTACTTAATGAGTTGTCATTATCGTGGGCTATTGTATCATTGCCCATTCCTTTGGGCGAAATCTCCAGCTCTGCACTTCTCGTTATTGATATTGCGGAATGCTCTAAGACTGGAGATTCACTGTTGTTGTCGTCCTCATCTATTAGTGTAAACAGGGTTTGTCTGTTTGATTTTTCCATGCAATTCATGAGCCTTGTGGTGGGAAGTTTTCTTCCGCTCCCTACTAACTCTGGCATATCATCTTCCATACGATTTTGCAAGAGATATAGTAACCTTCTAGCGTCAAAAATGGTTTCAAAAAATCTTATCTCTTCTTCCACGCGTCCCATTCCTCCGCCATCACTTCTTCGCAGCTTCGGATTCAGCCTCCTCGCATCTTTCCATTGATACGTCATAATACATTTGTAGCAATGGCATTCGATGGCATCTTCAACTTCTATTTTGCACCTCGCTAGTGAATCCAGATGGTCATGGCATAGATCTTGGCGCATTTGATCATCATCTGGAAGGATAATTTTCTCATTGTGGCACGCGTACTTCTCCAGTAGTTCCGCGAGTTCCAGGGTAGATGTTCTGAATACATCTCTGAGGAAAGGCGAAATCCTCATTGTTGTTGTTGTGCTGCTTTTTTGAGCAAGCACGTATCGGTCTTATTTGGCCGATGCACCAAAATGTGTCGATGGTTAATAGGCTTTACAGTAGCCTGAGGCGAAATAGCGCCTCTTGATATGTGTTATACAGAACACATTAGCTGTTGAAGCTTTATGAACAGTCGACTAGCACACGTGGGTGCAATGGTAGAATGCTGACGATAACAGGCGGAGCAAGATAACTCAATGGTATCACAGCAGGTCATGCTTATGGCATGACCTTTACGGTACTTCGGTGAGAGTCAAGATACGATTGTAAGGAAGTACCGACAATGTCGGCACAGATGAGGTGAGAGGCGGGGGGGGGGGGGAGGGGAGCAGGGCTCGGCACCGGTGGCTTATAAGCGAACTGGATAGTTTTTGCGGTCTGAAAAAACACACGCTAGGTCAGTTTTTTAAGTCGATTTCTCCGATTTTGAGTCAAAGGGGATTTCGTAAAATTTTGCGCAATTCAGATTGGATTACATTTTTGCATATTCGGAAAGCCACCTCGTGCTGAGCCCTGGGAGGGGGAGGTTGTAACAGCTTTGACTTGGTAACCGGCTGACTCTACATATTATTCCGCACACAACAGTAGCCTTTTTGATCATGATGTTAGAAACATTCGACGCCTTCTCGCAGAGGATATTGATGGAACTAACAATAAATATTTTTTATCCGACGCTAAGCTGCAATGAGGCTACCAAATCTTCCAAATCAAAACGTCAGTCATGTTTGATCCTGTGGACTAAGGCAACTTTTTCTTTGAAAATACTCAATCCATGGTCAGCATAAAAATTTATAACACACAAACAAACTTAAGAAGTGACGCATATTCAGCTTCAGACGCTGGTTTCAAAAATGCTATCCATGGCAAGTTATGAGCTTTTTCTGGGCAAAGCGTGATTCATATGCATAATGTTTCCTATCAACACCAGACGAATCAAATTGATTTTATTAGTATCCCACCACCCTTTTGTGGCATATTTACAGGCCGTCTTTTCATATTCAGTTGTATGTCAATAGCATCGGATACTGAGAAGCTCATAACTCGTTTCAAAGTAACGCTCAGGGCCCAGCACGAGGTGGCATATGAAAAGTTCAAAAACAAGTCTTCCTTGACATCAGAAAGTTACGAAATACCTGTAGTGTTTTTAGAAGCTCTTTTGATAATCTGCAACGGAAAAAGTAGATTGAAATGAAGAAAAGACAAGAATAAATCAAAGATCAAAAAGCGAAATGTGAAAAAGACTGTTTTTATATCATCAACAACCGTAAGAAAGCATAGGGAAGGAAACCTGGGTCGAGATGAGTACTCACAGGCAGAGCTTGATTTAAAGAATAGATTTATGTAGGAAAATTCGAACATTCATGTGAGGAAGGGAAAGATTTGTAAAAATTCGTGACTTTATCTGGTCCCGCGCAACCTGGGGGCACCCTGAGGTTGCGCGGGAGCAACCTAAAATCGGGAAACTCAAGTCCTCTCGTTCACATAACTTTTCACAAATTTTCTTACTTTTTTTTGATGATCGCCGCAGAACTACACCCCAAATCTGGTGCTCAATATTGCTTACTCTTTGTAAATAAACCGATTGTTAATGTTATTGTGGGTGAAGATTGTGTTTCGACACGTTGACCTTATGAACACAAATTTATGCACTAATCGTGTTTGCAACGTGTTATTACATGTAACTGGTAAGATACGTCAGACCTTCAAAATCGGATCTGCTAGAAATATTGTTTTCTAAAATTTTGTCAGATTTGCGGGTAGAAACTTTACGGTTCCCCTGCATTCCCCTCAAAAAACGAATCCAGGTGTGAAAGCGCCACCTCTGCTGAGTATTGATACTTCGCAGTTTGGACCGCATTTGTAATCTCCGATTCAAGCTGATTCCGAATTTTGCGTCGTTTGCCAAACAATCGAACCGACTCAAGTGCCTTCCCTTGTAAGTAAGAAATGCAAAAAATAATGAGTGAGCTAATCAGTAATTCTCAGCGAGAGTAGCATATAACATCGACTTTGCCCCAAAGACTGTGGCCCGTAGTAAACCCCACTCAGCGGAACTGGGCTGGGGTGGGCCTATGTTGAACATAGGACGCCCTCAGTACCGCCGGTGAGCGGGAGACGGCCCTTCTGAACCGCTAACACTAGCAGCCTAATTACTGCACGCTTCTGATCGGTCGGTGTGCCGCTGCTTGGCTGAGCGAGAGCTATACTGTCGTTAGAGATGTCTGAATTGAACTGCAAAGGCATTCTTATGATAAAAAGAATCAAACAAGATTTCGATTCCCATGAAACTCAAAAATGTTTTATTTGGACGGCTTAGGTAAATTCTTCAGCTTACACGTGCAGACTTCATAGTGTTTTGAAAACTCGGAAGGGCGAAGAAATCACGAAATGGCCTTACAAGGGAAGTCACTTAACTTAGGTCGGGCTTTTGAAATGAGACACATATATTTAGAATCAGCTCGAAACGCTGATTCTAAATATGCTATTCTTAGCTGCGAAGCGTTTCTATGAAGCGAGTTATGAGCTTTTTTAATATGTGTCATTGACATACAACTGAATATGGAAAGAAGGTCTTTGGATGAAATTCTGCTTAAAGAGTGGTGAAAAATCAAAATAACATCAAATTGAGTCATTTGGCTTTGATAGGGTGTAATATGCATTTGGACCACTACCTAGATGATGATACCGTAGCATGCCTAAGTCGGCCAACACGCAAAATTTGCTCGGGAAAAAGCTCATAACTCGCTTCAGAGGAACGCTTCGCAGCTAAGGAAAGCAGGTTTGAAATCAGCGTTTCAAGCTGATTCCAACCATATGTGTCTCATTTCAAAAGCCCAACCTAAGTTAAGTGACTTCCCTTGTTAGAAACATGCAACCTTTCCAACTTTTTGTCTTCATAATTCAAACATCCTCACTATCATTATCGCGTGCCTCACTTGCTTTGGAATGCTCAGAATTATTTGAGAACTCTGCTAGATTCTAAGAAAGGCGAAGTAATTAGCGTTGCCTGGGCAGATTAATTAGCGCTAGGACGGAGCGGTTCAGATGGACACACACCCACCAAATGAATGGATAAAAGAAAACTAGGAGTTTTAACGGAAATTCCATGAAAATTGAATGATTGCAACTCCAAGCACATTGAATAAACGGAGAAATCGTCGTCTAAAGCAGCCTCTGAAAGGATGACCTAACACACTCTACAGAATAGAAAAAATCCTGTTTTCTTGTTCTCCCGCCGAAATCAGTTGCTAACTGAGACTTTGGTTTTTGGGCCGCGGTATTGTGCAGTTTTGCGCGGTCTTGTACCGCAACAATACGTCATTAGATCGTCCCTTAAGTTATTCACGAGCAACTTACAGGCATTTGTCTTATCCTCCTCGTTTGCATACTATCTCCCTCGGTTCACCCTAGGCTGTACTCTCGACTAAGTCGCATTTCGTCGAACTGACCGCACCTATTGACCGTTCCACTGACTATCCTTCTGAAGTTCACCTCAAGTCAACTGACTAGGGAAGCGTGTTTAGTCGAATCGGGTTTCTGAATGAGACTCATACCACTTTGAAGAGCATTGCACGGTGACTCCAAATCTGCTTTCAGTATCTGCCAAAGCCTCTAGACGCCGAGTTATGACCGTTTTTCAAAACGAAAAATGAGTGCAAAATTTATGCAAAATCAATTGTTAACTTTTTTCTAGCGCTCGCATAAAGCAGTGTTAAGTACTAGCTTATTAGACAAAATGTATATATCCATTGCATGAACTGCTCTGATACTCGATTCCGGAGCATCTAAGCAAATTTGGTCGACTTTGCTCCTATTTTGCGTTCAATTTTTTGACCCGGAAAACGCCCATAACTCGGCGTTCAGAGGCGCTTGGCAGATAATGAAGGCAGAATTGGAATAATTGTGCAGTACTCTCCAAAGCAGTATGAAACTCATTTGAAAAGGCATTTCGACTAAACACGCTTCCCTTGTGAGATGAATGGGGGTTTACTACGGGTTAGTGTACGAAATTTGGTGCAGATTCTTCAGTTATTTCTTCAGTTTAGACAGCTGCGTCTATAATGTCAACAGTTAGTGACTATTCATGCGAATCGACTGTAAATCCTATCGCAATATGAAATAGCTCATGCAACAAAAACGCCAGTAATTATTACTTTTGTTTATCGGTAGCCTTCCCTGCACTATTGAGATCGCTTGGAGAAAATCACGCGTAGAAGTGTTATCCTCACTCGATAATGAAAACTGAGTCATGATTTATATCATCGTGTCATTCATGCCGTCCTTGGGACTCAGACAGCCCTTTCTCTTAATGGTTTGATGTTCTTGTAGCATAAGAAATTCAATATGAACAAACAACATCATGCGATGCACGATAGGACCATGAAATTAACAAGCAATAAATACCATAAATATATACTTGTTATAAGTGACCACGCGTTACCCTTAGTGTAATAAATACAAAATAGTCAAAGTAACGGGTATTAATGTATTGGATAATGTGGACCCGGAAGTTTTTGGTGAACTCGTTGTGCCCATGGTTGTCGTAGTTGGTTCGGGCTCTGGATGGATGGTTGTCTCAGAGGAGAACAATCCAATCACCAAACCTCCCTGAAAGATGCTGCATAAGCCACAGAAGGGTGCCATTTGATGTTATAGGTTCAGTGTACTTTGTTAGAAGAAAAGAGGTAAAACTCTGTTTGAAAGATGGTGAAGTATTGTCGCTGAGAAAATTTTCAAATTAGTTTCACCTATCTTTTTCATACTCATTGATACTCATTGATTAGCTTTGAAGTTCTGTCGTTTGCATTCTTGATGCGATGAACGAAAATCTATCGTGAAATAGTAAGTAAATATTAGGATGCAAGTGTCGCGAAAAGCGATAAAGAAGGGGCTGAGCCACAGTTCATATAAAAGCCATGACTTCATGCAACGTTAAGAGACTTACCAAGATTTTCGCTTATGCCTCTCAAAATTGTGCTTGTATGCATATTAGACTTTGTTACTTGATATGATGCTATGATATTTGGACAATAAATGATTGTGAGGATGTGAACAGCAAGAAAAGGATTTTCACTTCTTCGCTGACGCATTCAAAAAGTTCAAAAAATTTTCAATTTTTTGAAAGACTACGGGAGCTTTGTATGCAGTCTAGCATATTGAGATACTAAGCCCTAATGTCGCATGCAGAAGCTACCTGTCCATCTCCAAACCCGCTGTCAGCCGGATTGCCGGGGACGCAGTTTACTGTCGATCCGAGTTCTAGAGTATATAGCCCATCATTACAAACGCAAATTGTTCCGTTGCAGTGAGAATCCAATAGGCATTCTTGTCCATTCGCACAAAGGCCTCCTTGAAAAGAATGGTTCAAGATTCAAGCAATTGACTAGTGTGTCTCTATAGACTAACCTGGAAAAGCAACTCGATCTTCACTGAGTATACCACTACCGCCATCCATTCCACTTCTCGGTTTAGGAATTTCTTCCCTGAAAATACGTTATATAGTTTGTTGGGTTTGAATCTCGTATACCTACGCGGTAAATAGAGCTCCATCACCGTCCCAACCGAGGAAGGTCTGGTCTACTTCGTTAGTGTTTCTCAACCAGTTTGCAAGCGGTTCGAAATACTCAAGCAAAGGCTTCGCATCCAGCTCGGCTGAAAAAACCTTCGGAGGATTTATAAGATCTCTACAGCCGATATATGCACTAGACGCACCTTTACCAGTGATGAGTTCCAGAGCCTTGAGCCAAGTGATTGATGATCCCATGGTCATTGCTGCACGAAGCTTCTCTGTCGTATCTTCTGATAGTATGCATCCCTCGCTCTGAGTATGACAAGTTTTATGTGCGTATCCACAGTGCCGCAGTAAAAATTTGATTTGGAAATCATAAAAGGCAGTTTGAAAATATCTGCAGTTAGTACCGCCTATCGTCCAGCTTTCAAGTCCTTTTTTCAATTACCTATGGAACATATGGCGGTATGTGAGAGATAATTGCGAGGACAAGCGCAAAAGCAGAAAAGTTCTAAATCTTGTCGCAGGCTCAAACGGAATTTAAGCAAATTAATAGACTTTTGGAGAAGATTAGCTTGCAGGCAAGTAAAGCAAACTCATAAGCTGGTATTTTATAGATTTGTCTGCTCCTCAAAATCACAAAACCAATATTTTTGAAGATCTCATTTTTGCCAAAACAGTGAAAACACAACTGTAGCAGGTACAAAAGCTTCCAAACCTAGAAACTCAATGTTTGTTTGTTGATAAGCATTATCAGTTCAAATTTTCGTGTTGTTTTTCGTTTAGAAAAATCAGGTTTTTGGAGGTGATGCTGCTCCCACGCTGCTCGTAGTCAATAAGCAGTGGTTTCTGTAACGAATACTCACAAAATTTGCGAGAAGTTGATATGATGTACCTAAAATTGATTAAATGTAGCAAAAGGTTTACTCTGATTGTCTTCATTGAATTTCAAAAACATGTTCCTTTCGGAAGCTCGCCCTCTATCGCCCAGCGCTTTTTTGCAAAACCTTCATCAAGATTAGAGGTGCTGGTACCCAAATGCAAAAGATTCCCGCTTCAATCTCTATTTTAGATTGTCCGAAAAAAACCAAGGAACATGTGTTGAACCTACCAGCGCGGTTTCAGCAGGACACATGGCCTTCAGAATCTGAAATTGGGCAACATAGCTTACGAGACCTCTTGTGGCAGGAGAATGGACCTAAAATCATGAATCCTAGAAGAACTAGAAAGCCAATCGGATGTTTTGATTAGCGTACTTGATAGATGGCACTATGCATGAGAGCATCAAGATTTGACGAGTTGTAAGGCTGAGGAGCTCGTAGGCCTTCATACTTGGTTCTGAAAAAGTTAGGATTTCAAATTGCCAGTCAAGCAATTATAATGGTGTTGTAGAACTAGTGCAGACCTTAGCTCCCACCATCTGTCGTTCAGCTTTCCTGGTGAAATAGTGGATTCGAATTGTTCATACCTCCATTTGTCAGCGACTATATCGAAGGGTATTTTTGCAAAATTTTCCAGTGCTTCCCTGTAGATGCAGCGATGGCAGTGAGGTAATTTATCGTGTTCAAATCGAACTTACTTATAGAGCCTATTGATTACCAAAGAGTCTTTGATTTCCAAATGGGAAGCGTTGACTAACTTCTAAATAAGGTCATCAAATCTTGTCCAAGATTTGTCTGTAATTTTGAAAAACTTGCTTGCGAGTACAGGTAATGAGGATTTGTAGCCAGATGAGCAAACACTTTCGCGACAGCTTCACTGACTGAGGGTGATGCAGGCTCTCTGCAGTAGCACAACGATTTGTGGGAGAAATTCTAATTTCATTCCATTAAGAAAACGGATGGGAAAGTACCAAACCTGAATAAAAGCGGCTGATTTCTGTAGAGGTACTGGTAGTAAACTTGTGCCATTAGAGAATGAGCCAATTCAAAATCAGGCATACCAAGTTGTGCGCACGCCTTCACTCTAAAATCTTGTTTTGAAAATTAAAATACTGCATCTCTATACTCTTATTTGCACCATAAGTGGTCTCAGGATATTTCTTCGGGGGGGGGGGGAGCTGGGCACTGGGCATCTCGGAAGGAGGGCCGTCTAGCTCAGAGTTTCAACGAAATTCATCAAAATATTCAAAATGTACTCTTATTGTTAGAAGTCAATCGCATATTTACAAGATCTACATATAAATAGAATATTGTCACCGCCAGAATTAGCCAAAGTTGGGCATGGTCAAAACGATGGGTTGGAAACGATTATGCTACTACGAGAGGAATCAATTCAAAGACATGGCCGGTAATGAGAAGAATGCGCTAAGGCAAGACATGAAAAGTATTCAGGGTGTACGTCCGTCTACCTATAACCTTACCTTCATGCCTGGCCGAAAGACGACCCGAACTCGGAACCACCCAACATACCGTAACTTTACATGCTCCTAATTAAAATTCTGAGATTTTAGCGTGATTATGGTACTTAGTTTACAGCCTTGCAGCTGGGGCTGTACTGATAAAAAATAAGGATCGCAAAGCAATAGAAACAAGGAAGTTTAGTATTGGGTTTCCTTTACTCCTAGAAACTAAAACGAAATTTCTTCTGCAAACTCAAACAAATTCACAACTTAAGAGAAAAACTCCAGCGTGTTCAACTTTGCTCAATCATTGGTTCGTTTTCTGTGAATTTTGGCTTTCGATTATATCGAGAAAAAAACTGAATTTTCAATCTAACGTAATCATGATGAAGGAGAAGAGAAGGGTGCGGAAGTGGTTGCCATGAATTTATAAGAGTGTGCGAGTGAGAACTTGCTCATAAGTGATTAAGAGAATTTAAGTGAGAACTAAGGCCTCGTAAAAAATAATGAAAAGAGGAAAACATGAGAGAAATCTAAAAAAACTTGCCATTGCTAGACATAAACATTAACATATAGATCTCCTACCTGAAATCTACTCCATCTCTCATATCCAAGGCAGCTGGAGGATTACAAATCATGTCTCTACTCCAGACACGAGCGAAGTGCGAACTCGTCCAAAACGTTTTAGGAAGGGTTGGGAATCCTATCGATTTGAAGTAGCGGTAAGCCTAGAAGGTTAGTTATTGGCATTCAGATGTGATGTGTATACGACGTTTTTGCCAGAAAGCAGTTGTTGCGTTGGTACCTTTGAAGAGCTAAACGGATGTCATTCAAGACAAAAATCCGAAAACAGATTTCGTTTTTTCAACAAGATGGCCGTCGGGCGCTAAACCCGAAAAGCCACTCGTCCAGACGTTCCCGATATGATGTAATGAGGGAAGAAAGATGACGCCGGCCAATAAAAACTCAGAACGCTAATCTCAATTACTTCTATACTTGCGAAGTGTTTTTCTACGAAAGTTATGGATTTGTAGAGTCATGTAAAATATGGCCCAGAAAGGAGATAACCGCCCTTTGAACAAAGCATGGTTGGAAAACACTCAAAAACGTTCAGTTAGGTTAGAGTAAAAAGGCAATGTATTGGGCTACATGTCTCGGCCTGCATACTTCTTCGTGACTGCCAGTAGTGCGACATAGTATGCAAGCAAATCCGCTGAAAGAAAAGCTCATAGCTTTTTTTAAAAGCGACGGTTCGTAGATAAAAGGTACATCTGAGATCAGCGTTTCAAGCTCTATTCGTTGGTGTACATCATCTTCCACGCCGCCACTTCATCAAGCGATCTTCAAGGCAGCGTCCAACCCCCGGCTTCCCACATTCGGAAGTCTAGAAGCAGGCCGTAATAAAGCGTTTGCGTTGGTCCTGTCTTCTTATGATGTCTAAAGGAAGTGCCCGTCACGCCACGTCCATCCAAGAATTACCCCTTTAATTATGTTCATCACAGTCAAACCGCATTTTGTGTAACTGTACTGCTGCATACAACGGGAATAGTGCCAGAGCATTAGTCCAAGTTTGCCAAGATAAGTCTCAAAATGAAGAATTCTTGGGAGTTTTCAAGTATTTTGCACCAACTGGGGTCATGAAAAGCTAGTAAGGATAAATAATGATAAAAACATGAAATCGAAAATCTGGGTTGACGTTGCCCCAAAATAGAAAAGACTCTGGTGTGGCCCCAAAATAGACGAAGTCCTTAATGATATTAAAAAATCATCTCAGCCTGCGTCTGACGTTTTATATGAAGACATTACAATTAAAAAAACTATGACAGACAGAAGAAATATTGACTCGTACGCTACCTTCACGAACATCTGCTTGGTAGTGTAGTTTTGTGTATGGAAAGAGAAAAGTATATCCTCCGGAAGACTTGACTCGTCATCATACGGTTTTGTCTGCTCGTAATGAGCTGACCAATCGCCTCCTTCGACAGAGCCTGCAACAGATCTGTGAAAATGAAGTAGCAAAATACTTCATTGTAAGATACTACTTCTGTTTCTTCAAATTCTCAGGCTGCAAATTCACAAGAATATTTTTGAAAGGATTTAAGTTGATGAGAGATAACTAACGATAGGATCCGACAAGGACAAATGGGGAAGGAAAACTTTCAGTCTCAGAAGGCCTTATAAACAGGTATGAAGATTGAGGCTGTTCAATCTAATGTTTTGAGAAAAAAAGAGCCAAGACGAGAGAAAATGCATAAACATAACCTCTTACGATCACTAGCCATCAAGAAATTTCCGTAGTATAAAAATTACGCAAAGCTTGATTAACATGTTTGGCCCAAAATGCGGCTTTAAACTATTATAGAACCTCACTCCTCCTTGTTAATAGGGATTGTTTTCTCATTACCAAATGAAGGGGACTGCAGTGAAAAAGGAAATTGAGAAGATTTTTGCTAACAAGGGAATGGTCAGAAATCGAAGTGGCCAATTCAAGCAAGCTGCATACCATTCGATGCAGCATAGAATGCTGATTTCAGATCTGTCTTCCTTATCTGCAGAGCGCTTTTGTAGGCGAAGTAATAAGCCGTTGAATGTCATCATTTTGCTAAGAAATTGTGCGTGTAAAGGTCAAACTTGGCCATACAAAGCCATTCTCGGCTCAGTGTTGGACCAAAACGTGTAACTAGGTCAGTTCATATGGCTCGTACCTAAAGGTGAGCTAAAAGAGCAGTGATCTGCCTAACTTCGCAGTTTTTGTGGACGATTTTTTCGCAGTAAAGCTGCTCATAACTTCGCCCACAAAGGCGCTCTGCAGATACGGAAGACACATTTGAAATAAGCATTCTATGCTGCATCAAACGGTATGCACCTTGTATGGATTGGCCACTTCGACTTCTGACCATTCCCTTGTAAGTAATCAAGAGAAAAAGAGAGTCTGAGTACTTGTGCTAGAATGTTGAAGAATATAAGGTCTGTTGAAAAAGCTCGAGTAAGTTATGTAGGTATACTTCCCATTTTCAAAGCCAAAAAAGCGGAAAGAAGGTGGAAATTTCCATCAAATGAGATCATGAATATAAGGCATTTGCTGAGAAGGTTCCATGCGTGTAATTAAGAAAATTCAAAAGATTTCCTACGCTGACCAACTGTCCAGACTCTTTTGCTGAAGAACCTGTAAGAAGTTGAAACGTTTAGCTGGAGCTTGAACTCCAGCCGAGAAGAGCATGAGGGTGTACTCAGAAAGACACTATAACTAGTGGAGTGCAAGAAGTATGCCATAGTATTACAGCTACGAAAGTCGAAGAGAAAAGAAGTTAAGGTTTTTGATGGCAAGAAAAGATGGACTATATCTAAAACCTTAGTCTCAGGGGTGGCGTAACAATGCTTGGCTAAAGATTCTCAGCGATAAAATCACCTCCATCGCTGCGAGAATATGTGTGCATATTGCACATAATGTGAGAGAGTGAAAAGAAAGTGCGTGCTTTGAAGAAAGTATAATGCGCATATCAGTTACATAACCTAAAAGAAAGTGAGCGCAGAAGTTGGACAATGGCTATGGAGGGTGAAAGACACTTGCAACTATGACACAGAAGTTCTAGAGGATGGTCAGCGTGGAAGGGAATTCCGGTAATTTACAGTGGGAAAAGGTCAAAAACAAAGTTTTATGTTTTACGATTTCAATGATAATTTCGATTCGAATTTCAAGGAACGGTCTATGCAGAGCCGTGGATGCCTCTCTCTTGCTGGTGACTGCGCAGCGATCTACTCTCTTTGATCTGCATTTAACTTTCGATGAGTGCAACTATTAGGTTTTGAAAATAGAAGGGCTTCCAAATTATTAAAAACATCCTGTGTTGAAGAAGTCCGCACCATCTAAGAGTTTTTTTTTCAAACTGTTCATATTTTCTCCTTGAAAAATTCAAAACAAAATCTATGAATGGTTTCCAATGATTTAGTGGCTTCGAAATATTGGGTTGGTGCAAAAATAATGTCCGTTTTTCTAGGTCTATTATCCGAGCAATTTTTTTCCAGCAAACTTTCCTTCTCGAAAAACTTGTACATAATCGGAAAGCCTTCTTCATGTACTTTCTAACAGTAAAGCAAATAAGTTTATATCCTCATCTGTGAGAAATTCATCAGCGTTTCGCACAGCCGCACACAAAACCGAGATTTTCTTGTCTTCGCTTTCTTGGCCACAATTCAGACGTGAATGAACGAATTCTTTTGGGCACATAGCTACTATATGGAGTGATATTGATTACCTACTGCATGCTTAATCGAAAATATCTGGACTGAAAACTCTGCTGCTGATAACCTATGGGTCAAAATTTTCTCAGAACTGAAACAATCGATGAAGCTTGGCTTATTTCTGTAAGTATGAGATTAAGACAGCTTGTAAACAATTTCTGCAGAGAAGCTTAGCTATTCAGTGCATGAAGAAATCCAAATTTACATAGTTTGGGAGTTTCAGGCCTACCACAAATAAACTCGAATAAGTAAACCATTTTAGTTGTCACCTTTCGATTTCGCAAAACTCCTTAGTTGAGGCCTTTTCTATACACATGTATACTACATGCTTGCTACAGATAATCTTCCAAAAACGAGGTTCTCAAAAGAAAAACTTTCGATTTCCTGACGCATGGTTTTCTTCTCTTTTGCAGTATCAGCATGAGCAGGCACTTAATAAGATAAAAAAGGTTTACTGCTTCTGATAATTGACTACATTCGAAAATATGATGACTGGACAAAGTTACATGCAAAACGAACATTACTTTTGCATCAACCTAGTACAGTCGAAACATTTCATATGATCATGCGTGTCATTGCACACAGTCCACCTTTGGCGTTCCCAACCTGGATTCTTGAAGGAAACGACCCTTCAGGTGTTTTCAAGGTGTTACCAATATTTTCCTTCCTTTTTAGGTAATAATCACTTCAAATCAAGTGGTCGATAAGAATCGGTAAGTCTCTCGCGTTTTTGCGATTGCAAATCCAGGATGAGGACGCCGAAGGTGGAATGTGTGTGCAATGACCACATGATCATATCAAATAATTTGACCGTACATACGATAAGATTTCCTTCCGGTTACAGTTGTTTTTTGTTAGAGGTTGAAGCCTAGGATGCCAAAGTCAAACACACTGCTGCAGTGGCATATTTGCTAAGAGAAATATAAGCTCATTGTTCCTTCATTTCCTTTTTCTTCTCCTTTTCGATCCGTACATGTTTTTACCTCTGTGTTAAACAACCTTTTCCACTAGTTGGCATACAAAGGAAAGGAGACTAGAAAACAACGTCGCCGTAATAAAAGCGACAAGAGACACGAAAACATTTAAAGGTTGCATCAGAAAGGTCCCCTTGGCAAGCAGCTGTCCTCAGGTAACGAGAATATCTTCCTTTTTCGCAAATTTTCCTCTCATTGCACTATCAGGTAAGAGATCTCTGTTTGCATAACCTTCGCATTTAATGGCGTCGGAGGTACAAACATCACTTTTGAGGCTCCGTCTCTAGATTGCCGAGTCTAGTTACATATCCAAATTCCTAGTCGAGATTAAGCTTTCATTCTATCAGAACATCTAAGGAGAAATGCAAATAATAAAGAGATTGTATACATACCAAACAAATGTGCTGGAATCGGTCCATTTTTGCTTAGTCCGGTAGGATTTCCATAAATCCCAGCTATTTGACGTCTCATATATGCATGCAACTAAAACAGTCAGTTTGTTACAAGATAGAGATTGTAACTTAGTTCACCAACGTTTTTATAGAGCGGCTCGATCATTTGGTATATTTTCTCTATTTGCTCGTTGAAATCCAATACTTTTGGTGTATTCTTCCCAGACATATCGAAAGCACTTCTCCACATTGCACCGCCATCACTGAAACCGTTGGCTTGTGCCCCTGAAAACAACGTATTACCTCATTCCTATCCGAATGATAGCATAAAGTAATGCAATCTCTGTCGCCGCCTTTTCTGCTTCAAATTAGAACTTTTATAGTACGCTGCATACCGTATCCGTATCGCTTTGGAAATCGGAAGCCTTATCTTTCTCGGGGAGGGCGAGGGCGAGGGCAACAGAATTTTGTCAAAAGAAGGAGCGTATGTCGCTTCAGCCACGCTTTCCGAAAGATTTTCGAATGTTTAGAAAGAAATTTTGCAAACCCATAACCCGGAAATATCGAGAAAGGAGGTCGTAGCGGTAGCCACGAATAAATTCGTATTCATACAAACCAGAAAGAATTTTTAAGGTCTCGGAAAAGCTGAAGAGAAGAATGAATATCACGGAAGAACCGCGAAAGTGTTGGGGAAACAAAGTCCGAATCGGCAAAAGAAAGGTCAACGCTGGCTAAAAGCAAAAAGCTTTGGAACCTGTAGCTATCAAAAGGTTCTAGGATTTTCGTACGGGAGGGGGCGGGGGGGGGGGGAGACAAGAAAATTTTGTTGATGGAAAAAATTTTTAGGCTGCTCCACAAAAGTTTCGTTGATCCGCAACTCGGAAAGCTGCGCAAAATCAGGTAAGCACTGCTTAAATAACAACCTATAGAGCCTGATTTGAAATTGCGCAGCGCGCTTACGTAATATCATCTCAAAGATCTCCACGACCCCCAATATCCCGAATAACCCTCTACGCAGTTTTCTGCGCGATCGTAATATTCTTCCGGCTACGGTAACCTACCGCAATCTGCCATAAAGGTGCTCCTCGACAGAAGGACAAGAAGGACATGATATTCACAACTTGCATTCAAAAGACTAGCCAAGTCCTTCCTATCTTCCTGATGCAGCACAAAAGCTAATGTTTGCAAGAAGTTGGCTGCTCAGCAACTCGCTGTGCACATGGTTCGCACCTCATTCACCTCGCGCAAATTTGCTATCCGAAAAGTGCCAGGATTTGAGCTTTTCTGTGAAAAATATGAATAGGCTGCAGTCAAAGGCTTTATGGCTCAAAAATATTATTTTATGGTCATTATAACTGTTAGACAAATAGCCCCCAAAACGTTCATCATGGTTGCTTGCACCTTCACAAAGAACCACAACGCACTGTGTCCCTTACTTCAACACTTCCATCACAAACTATTTTCAGATATGATGACAGTTTGCCTTTGATGGTATGAGTCACATGAAATGAGCAACACGCATTCTCCTTTCACAAGTCGAGAACAATTAGGATTAAAAGAGTTTTAAGAAAAAGGTGTAACAATCACCTATGTCTAGTTCCAAGACCAACGACAGATTCATACGTCTTGTCTTTCAAATTTCTCTTTCAGCTATTCCACCCTTCCATAGTAGCGAAAAGACGATTCAAACCCACATTCTAATTACTAATCTCTTTTTTCTCGCCTAACACCCCCCCCCTCCCCCTCGGATTCGTCTTAATAACCTTTGCTGAAGTGTGTCTTCACTAGAAAATTGCATTGCTGTGAAAGATATGGTATGGTATTTAACAGGAAAAGGAGATCGGAATGCAGAAGGACCCAAAAAGACTTCGAACTCAGGATCGAGAAAACATTGTAACTAATCAATATAGTCATCTTCTCTTAGCCACCCCACACCAAAGTTTTGCCTTGTCTTAGATTGACCGTCCCTATCGCAACGACCTACAGTTCAAACTCAAGAATGTCCACCAGGTGACTATCAAAGTGAGGGCGACCATATAATTTAGCGCATCTTCAACCTCCATACGCACCTTTGTTAGTCAACTGAATCAATTTCTGATATGTGGGCTTCTCTCGAGCCAGCTCTGTTAGATAAGCTATCCACAAGTGTGACAAGCGAGCTGCATCCTTTTCATTGCGGAATATCGATTCCATATCGATTTTTCTGAAAGTAAACAGTGAATGGTAAATTTTGTCGACTTAATCACTGACTTCAAAGCACATGGCGGTGGAAGATCCTTGTCGCAAACGGTCACGTCGCCTGCTACTCGGTTGAGCTAAAAGGATCGATTACGATTTCAAAAAAAAAAAAATGTTTGTGGGATCATAATATCCGAGTGTGATCTTTTTCACAAAATCGTATCTAACAATTCTTGCAACGAAGTAAGGCAATTAAGAAATCAAGAAGTGAAGTTATTAGGTTGTCCGGAAAATAATGTCGCATGGCATCCCACCGCTACAAAATGACCATAAAAAATAGCGAACGGGGTATCATTTGATAGAGCAAAGCAGGCTCTGCAAGGTAGTTTACAAACCTACGCGGAAATCGTGCTCCACCTGAAGTTTGAATCCAAAATATGAAAAATTCCAAATACCCGAAAAATCGTATCTCCGTTCATAGACGTCTTATGGATCTCCAATTTGCACAGGCATGTACTCTCTACACTAGACATTCACCTGCGTAGTTTGTAGTATTTTTTTGGCTACAGTACGAGAAATAAAAATAGGTCAACAGTGCGAATATGACGCGTTGTTCGGGTTTTTTGCAAACAATTTGATTTTTCTCGAAAACTAGCGCTTGTCTAAAGCTGAAAATTCATGGTTATACTCCTAAAGGTTTATGCTACAGAATCACTCATGTGAGAGAAGCTCAGGATTGTTTTGGCAAAAATGTGCCGAATTTCGTTTTCTCAATTTTCAGCCATGGAAAAACCGCGAAAATGTGCATACATGTGTCTCGTATAGTGAGTCCACGCGTGAGCAAGTTAGGGGTTCCCAGCTCTTTTCTGAACAGAGATACGATTTTTTTTCTTTTTTTAGATCTTTAGTGCCTTGTAAAATTTGGCTCCAAACTTCACGCAAACAAACCTGGCGCAAAGGCTTGAGCTTCATTTTGTAGCGCTTGTTTTGATCTATCGGTTGGTACCCCATTCACTTACTTTCGTGCTCACCCTGCCACCATTTTGCATGTTAAAATAAAAAGCGACATTATTTTCCGGACAACCTAATGTTTCCGCGATTCACTTATTAATTGTGGCAATCATGATTTACGGGTATTTCTACGTACTCAGGCTGGGACCGCTGCCCGTGTGCGGCACAGGACCAGCATATCACTAGCACAGTACCGGCACAGTACGCCTTGATGTCACGCTTGTCGCATGCGGCGTCATCTTCATTACCGCATGCGATGCAGCGACGTCCTGGGCCAGACCCCTGGCGTCAATAGGGCAATTTCGGACGCAGCCTTAAGGTCATCCTAACATACCGTGTTTTGCGCCTGATTAAAAGCTGCATAGTCTTTTGGTGACAATGCGGACATCCCCTCGAAGGATACGTATGCTAGCTGCCTTTTCAGTGATGCGTCTTTGATTGATTCCATATCGAACTGCTTGGCTTGCATTGAAGTCGAACGAACGAAGCGTGATAGAACCTGTTGGAAGCGATGGTTCGAGTGACTAATGTGTGCAGAAAAAGGATGGTTAGATAAAAAATATTTGCCTGTTCGGCTTCATTCAAACTTTGCTTCGCCCCTGGAGATGCGTGGCTGAAGTACTTCCATCCAGCTTGAGCTACTTCTTTTAGAACCTGGAAAAGGAAGAGGATTATCGTCACGAGAGAATTTCCACAGAAGGAACAGATAACTTGATCAGAGCTTTACCTTCTGAGCTTCAACTTGGTAGCCATCTATCCATTCTTTGATTGTTGCTTCATCCTTGATTGTTCCTGGCTCCTAAACTAGAAAATTTTTTCCACTTCTTGCTAACTGGGATATGAGTAACACCTTTAGCCCCTCAGTATTCCAATATTTGCTGCTCCCTACAAGGGCTTGAGCTGCCGGATTTGCAAACTTTGGACCATTTTTGTCCTGCAATCCAAAATGTTACATTAAAACAAAACAAAACAAAATAAAACACTTACTGAGAGTGAACCGGTATTGAGAAACCGATCAACAAGCTGCTCAATGACTTCGGTGTCGAGCTCGTCTGGCTGGTTCCTCTTAACCATGACTGATTTAAGATATCCAGTGAAGTAGTTGAACAAAACTCACAAGCTCAACCACGTCACCGTAATCTTCCGTTTCAATATTGTCAAACTTTATTGCTGGCTCTGGCTCTGGCATTGGAATTTCCGATATGGTCGATGAAGTTACATGTGATGAACGTGCAGACTCATCTGACTTTGGCACTGGTTCTGGCTCCGGCTTTGGGATCGGCTCAAGTTTGGGGTCAAGTTGCAGAGGGTCAGGGTTAGGATTCGTACTTGAATGCTCCGACTTCTGCATTACTTCCGCAGAACTATTTGCAGAGCTCGCATCCAAAACATCTGTAAACTCGAATGGTTCTGTGGAAGCTTCCGACATTGAACCATGGTTATGGTGGCTGTGGTCTTGTGCAAGCGCTACTAATATTGAGCAAGACAGAACCCATATAGTGACGATAGCGCGGCTTCTTGGTAACCGCATGCTCTGCAGCCGTACCCCTAAAGGGAGGTCATTTAATAAGAAAAAAGAGTAATTTCTGCTTCACGCTAAACCGGTCTCGATCAAATTGTAGATAATTAGAGTTGCGACGCGAGAAACTAGTTGCAGCGGTCACTAAGAAAGGAGCAGCGGTCAAAAAAACGAAAGCTGCTTTCAAGATGTATATCATGTTAGACGTTTGCATAGCTTCACGGATGAGGAATGAGTGGTAAATAGGAGACAGAGCAAATAGCAACGGTAGTGCTGATGTTTCGCATAATAAGTAAAATCACATTTGAGCTTAGTGAAGCAGTAACGCTGGTATAGCGCACAAAGGCGTTGTAGTTGCTCTTCAGTATGATTTTTTTCGTAAACGAGGTCACATCTTATTGTCAAATCATAGCGTAGAAATCTGCACCACAGTAGTGCGAATTGATATCGAGAATAAACAGCTCATATAAGCAACTTGAGGTGGTGTGTTACTGTACACATCAGCAAGAATAAATGAAGATGTGTATACAGCAACGTTCTGCACAAAACATGCATAGCCACCAGTCGGGCTGAGGCGCGGCTACGAGCCGTTGAGAACACGTTCACTGTGTTCGCCGGAGCGACGATCAGCCCCCGATCTAATCCGCGAGGATTCAGCAGGGGAAGCAGAATCCGATTTCGAGAATTGAACAATTAGCTGTTTAGTTTTATACCTTCTCAAACATCTTAGCAAGATCCTAACCATGCACCAATTACATGATGTTCAAAAAAATTTTATGCATAAAATTCGGATCAATCTTGGACATGTACATTAAGCAAAATGAAGTTCGAGCTTATCTGGTTCGACTCGCTTCGCGGCTCATTTTGATTGCTAATTATATATCACTCATATAAGACTATTGTCAAAATCAGAACGAATGATCTAAACGAAGTCATGACGAATACAGCTGAGAAATGCATGCTATGGGCTAATGTTCCACGTAAATGTGGATCAAGGACTCATATGCCGTCTCAAAGTTATTAGAGTGTGTAGCTTGTCCATCATGAAATGAAGTAATATCATCTAATTATCTTAATCTTCTTGAGCCATGGTCACTCAGAATAATATTACATTATCAATATCACTGATCAGTGGAAAAAGCGAAGACGTATGATCTGCTTCGTTGGGATGGAGGTAGCGTATTATAACATAAACTACTGCAAAAATGTTTGTTCGATTAGCATTGAGATGGGAGAAATGGTACTCTCTATAGAGGTCATGGAGGTCATTCCATTGAATGCGCAAATCGCGATTAAAGGGATCGCGAGGCACACGACATCAACATTCACAACTTGAGAGCGACAAACTTCGGAAGCCACTTTGATTACAAAGTTACATGAGCAAGGACTTGAACGATGTGGGCAAGGAGAAGAGCGGATTATCTGCTATGTTTCAAATCACAGGCTGGATAGACAATCAAAGTTTGAAAAGGGTCAAGGAGTGGAAAGCGTGCAACCGAAATCACGAAAAAGGTGAAAGGATGCGGAAGAATTGTATACAATCGTCCGGGCACCAAAACGAGTGATAAGATGCGCCGCTACGGCCTAGTTCTGAAGAGATTCACGCCATTTGTAGGTCATATCCGACGTCACTGTTTGAATTTACAGTGAGGCATGAAACTGATACGCATCAGTTCTATAAGTGGTCATTGATGGCTAACGCATTTTATGATGCTAGCACGAAGACCAAGGCTGAAGCAGCAAATCGGAACCGTTCTTTTTCTAGCGGCGGTGGCACGAACGTTGCATATAGCGATGGGACAGACGATGGGATTGGATTTGCTGCGAAGGAACTATTCTCTGGGTGCGTCCGTGTGCAGATGGAGTTGATATAGATGCTGGTGATATCGCCTCGATCGCGGCCGAATCCGCATCACCATGCGCAGAGAAATGGCAGATATCTGTTTGGAGTCGCAGGAAATTAGGAATCACCACCGTGCTCGAAGACAGTCGCGTGGTAGCGAAGAGGCATGGGAGGAGGGAGGTGGGGGAGACGGGTTGGATGCGATTAGCACATCACCGTCACACGTATAAGGCTAATAACCCCACAAAAGGAGAGAAAATCTTTGAGAGCAGACGATACACAAAAAATGAATTGACGTTTGCAGGCCTTCTGAAGGCCCTGATATCGAAGAGGGAGTCGAGAATCCGCGAAACTACCAAAAATCCCCATTTTGGAGAATCCGCTACAACAAGCGCAGGCAATCGAAAGCCTGAAAAGTGGGCGGGCGATCAGCTGGGTGAAGTGACCACCTCCAGATTTGCTCTTTCCGGAGCAGATTTCTCGCTCCGTAAGCAATCTTTTGCGGCGCAATTTGGGGGTTCGCCTAGTGTGGAGGCCCACACTGGTATGCCATCATAATCTCGTCAACCCCACTTTGGGTAGACGGTGCCTTTAAGGTTCAAAACTCTGTTGTTCGCACTTACTTGGCGAGTAGATAACGTTAAAAAACTTGTCTGTGGCTTGATACGATAAACCAACTTGGTAATTTATAGCTTTTCGATACAAAGAGCTACGGTCCATTTATAATTTACAACTTTGTCGCGCTGGAACCCTCTATCGAAATAAGAATGATGAACACTAGTTTGCATGCTAAATCCCTGAAACATAAAGGCTACTTCAAGACGGTGGCGCAGAAGCAGTACTTTTTGAACGAGCGCAAATGCGGCGCGCGTATCTTCACCCTTGTAAACCTTGTAAATCTGCGCCTTATGCCCTCTGCGGCCAATAAAGCCGCGTTCGGGTCCAAAGATATTGCGCCTTCGGTATCCGTGATCAGAGGTGCTATGGGGGAGCCGAGTACACCAAAGTGAAGGTGGTAGTGCCAGACACCCACTGTCCAAAAACGTCGACGGAAGGGGGGGGGGGGGGAAGCACAGGCCCAACGTCTCTTTTGGGAAGAACTTTTTTTTCTTAAAAACTTCGTAAACTTCTTCACTGACTAGTAAAAAGGAGAAATAAGAAAAAGAAATGTAACGGCCGATATGAGCTTTTTTCTCACTCAATTTACTTTTACGTTATTGTTGCCTACTGCGGGCACTTGAAGGCCATCATCGTCGTGGACGCATCTAGGTCCCGGCACTCTTTCGTTGGGACAAAGCTTCATGTGTCTTCGGATATCAGGAGCCCTAACCCAACGGCCCTCTTTAGGGCCACAAATACGATGAATACAGCGGCATAAATATCTCAAATAAACGTTTTAATTAGATGGCGCGTATTTGTAAGTGAGACTCAGCTAAACTCAACTGTTTTGTTGAATAAATTTTGCTAAACGTATCGCGAAGAAAGTATGTCGATCCATGCAGTAATCGCTGAGAACCAGAATTTCGAATGATAAAATAGCGAAAAATCATGCGAAATTTCTACTGCTATAGAGCGATTGTTATAATTTTTTATGGGTAGTGGTTGTTCTACCAGATAGTCAAATAATCAGTCGGTTTGAAATAGCCGCCGAGAACCAGAATTTTAAAAAATTACGCTTTAGGTTGCTTAGTGACAGCTGACATTTGAATTCCTATAAATATTGAGTGTGAAGGTGATGTTGCAACTTTCTAAGTTTTGTAGGGTAAGGTTTGCCCTAGCACATTGTGCTTTGGCCGTAGCGATTCATACTAACACCGTCAAGATCCAAGCTCTTGGAAGAACAGGAAAAGAACAATTTCTCGACATTCAACAGCTCTTAACTTCATCAGAACTGAATAAACCATGTTGCGACTTCTTGGGTTAGATTTTCCTCTTCAAGAGCTTACAGATGATATATAACACTAGCGACCCTACGGGTCGCTAGCAAGTGGGTAAGGGCAGATACAATATAGGGGCTTAGTTGTAATTATATATTTTTCTGAATAATTTTCCTATGCCTTTCCTGAGAACATTTTTGCGAAAAGCATTCTACAAAAGGAGATGTTCGAAGAAGCAATAATCTCCACAAATCTCAGCATTTCTCGAAATTCCTGCTGCCACCATGCATAGGGAATATTAATTTTCTCTCGATTACTACGCTCTTTCTGCAAATTTCCCCTCCTCACAGAGACATTCAGATAACCCCCCCCCCCCCACTTTTCTACCCTCTAAAAGAGAATTTGCTCTTCCAGTTCTTCTCAACAATCAGATCGTTAAGGAAGTAGAAGAACACCTATCGTTTTGGAAGTAGAAATACACCCATAACAATTATGTGTACTACAAAAAACACTTTTCTCTCGGAATCAACTCCGACAGCAACGAAATCAATCGTCTAAGAACTTTGTCAGAAAATCCTTCAATATTTTCGCCGAAGGAATACGAAGCTTTACTACAAAAAGAGATCCCTCCCCGAAAAGCACGACTACTGAGCCATCTAAAGACCGTCAATTATAAGAACTTCCCCAAACGTACAAAAATCTGTTCCCTGCCCGATCAAGTTGCCCTACGTGCCGCTTAGAGACCGTTTAAAAATTATAAGAACTGCCCCAAACGTACAAAAATCTGTTTCCCTGCCCGATCGAGTTGCCCTACGTGCCGCTTACAGACCGTTTAAAAATTATAAGAACTGCCCCAAACGTACAAAAATCCGTTTCCCTGCCCGATCGAGTTGCCCTACGTGCCGCTTAGAGACCGTTTAAAAATTATAAGAACTGCCCCAAACGTACAAAAATCCGTTTCCCTGCCCGATCGAGTTGCCCTACGTGCCGCTTACAGACCGTTTAAAAATTATAAGAACTGCCCCAAACGTACAAAAATCTGTTTCCCTGCCCGATCAAGTTGCCCTACGTGCCGCTTACAGACCGTTTAAAAATTATAAGAACTGCCCCAAACGTACAAAAATCTGTTTCCCTGCCCGATCAAGTTGGCCTACGTGCCGCTTACAGACCTTTAAAAATTATAAGAACTGCCCCAAACGTACAAAAATCTGTTTCCCTGTCCGATCGAGTTGCCCTACGTGCCGCTTAGAGACCGTTTAAAAATTATAAAAACTGCCCCAAACGTACAAAAATCTGTTTCCCTGTCCGATCGAGT